ACTCTACAAAGTGAGATGCACATAACACCAATGACATCATCACTAAATTAAACTCCCATAAGGCTAGTGGTGGGGACGGGATACCAACCATTGTCCTGAAGAAATGTACTCTTGAATTGGCTCTTGTCCTTTCTAAACTTTACAACTACTGCCTCACCAACTCTTGCTTTACAGCCTGTTGGAAGTCTTCATCTGTTGTGCCTGTCTTTAAGAACTTTGGTGACTCTTCTGACCCATCAAATTACCATCCTACCACTCTTTGGTAAAGTCTTCAAGACTTTAATCAACGCCGAAGTGGTTAAGCACATTACTTCACATAATCTGCTCTCCAACAAGCAATATGGTTTCCGCTTTGCCCGATTTATCACTGACGTGCTCACGGCTATAACTGAATTTGTATACCAAGCACTCAACAATAATGGAGAAGCTCGAACCAGGTTTGGAATGCTGACCTTCTTTTTTAGCTTCAGGGATATGGTGTTGATTAAAGCCTTGAAGACTCTGAGGATGATTATTTGACTTAATACAATCATTCCTGTCAAACCGTGAAATGAAGGTCATCCTAAATGGGTTCTCCTGTGGCTCCTTTATCACAAATACTGGTGTTCCCCAAGGCTCTATCTTGGGTACTACACTGTTCCTGATCTTCACCAATGACCTTCCCGATGTCATCAGTTCCCTAGTAGGCATCAACGCGGACAACATTACTATTTACTTCTGCCTCAATAGTAAATCTGGTATCGTTGACAAAACTAACCTACTTGCTGATCTCGAAAAGGACCTCCAATCTGTGGCTGACTGGGGCAGAAAATAGCATGTAAATTTTAATGCCTCCAAAATGAAACTGCTCTCTTTTATCCACCACAGAGAACCCTCCCTGTTTCCCATCAGAATGGCTGATTCCCAACTCCTGAAGAGCGCTTCGTTACGCCTGCTTGGTCTCAGGTGGAATAAATATGAGGTGTAATAAATACATTGAATCAATAGCTTCATCTAGCATAAGGAAAGTTGGTTCTATGTGTTGTACTGGACAGCTTTTCTCATCTGAGTCCATCCTTCAAATCTATAAGTCGTTGGACATGGAATATTGCTGTCATATATGGACCGGTGCTTTTGCTGAATGTCTCGAGGGCCTCAACAAAATCCAGAGACAAATATGCAATGTGATAGCTCCTGATCTGGTATCTAGTCTACAATCGCATGCCATGACATGCCATGACATGCCGTGGCTTTCCTCTGTCACTTCAACAAGTATTTACACAGCAATTGTTCCGACAAGCTACTTCCGCTGGTTCCCAGACTGCGTGAATTTTAGCGAACTACCAGGCTAGTATCGTAGTTACACCCATTCACTGTCAAAATGGTTAAATGTAAATGTCTCTTCTTCTCTCGCACTTCTCATCTGTGGAACTCTCTTCCTCTTACTTGCTTCCCTGATGACTATAATCTTCAAATATTCAAGTGTAATGTCAATCAATATCTGACACTCTGAGTTTGTTCCCCATCCTTCTCTGTATCCTTTCCTAAAACATGCCTCTTTACTCTTGTTCTCAATCCTCTGTAATCTCTTGCATGCTAGTGACACTCCTGCCTTGCTTTAAAAAAATAATATAAAGGATAAATGTCTATTTTTTATTTTATGAAACATTAAAAATTATTATCATAATTTGAACACTATTTCTACTGCTACTATACTACTACTAAGTAATAGCATCTCTAAGCCTGGTGGTGCATATACTGGGCGTTTCAATGATCATTATAAGAACCATTCATATCAGTAAGCCTTATCTGTTAAAGCATTTTTTCATTTTTAGCACTCATACTTGACATTCCAGATGCAAATGTAATGCATCTTAAGTAGGTCGTAATCTCTAAATGAGAATGTGAGGAAAACTAGTATTGAAAATGAAATTCTTTGCAAATAGTTTTTTCCAAACAATTGCTTTGATTAACATGCTTAATAGCATAAAAAATATTTGAAGAGACAAACAAATTGATCAAGGGTATTTAAAATAGAATCAATAAAAGAGAGTTGATTGAGATTTATATAAAAAATATCTTTATATTGCACATATCATTTGAAGCAAGTGAGATGAAAATACTGACAATATAGTCACACACATTTATTGATTGATTGATGTCTTTTACCTTCACCCACACCAGTATATATGCATACATGCACTTGCACACATGCATGCATACATATACATACACACCAAACTCTAGCAGAGATATACCTCTGTAGGTCTGGAATATTATAAATATATAAATAGCTTGCAGTTTGACAAGATTCCTTCTTAATACCCTTACAATTGAGCCCACAAATTATTCAGTGACTTTCAGTTGTATACTTTTTATATCTACTACTCTATTTACATTATTCGGACTATTTGTTGCCATATTTATTATGTTTCAGCCATTGTATGCTCTGGCCGTTCTTCAGATGGTTGGAATGTCAAACTGAACCCTTTATTTCGCTCACTGGGGTAGACTGTTCTAGTTCCACATGCCATGTCTAATGGATCTCCTGTTAATTCCCACCGCCTTAACCAGGTATTGAACTCAACATTCTTTGGGTCCTATAACTGGATCTAACCAATACCATTATTCACTGTGCCATGTGTCCTTGAGGACATCTGTCTATGAATTTCTGGGTATTATAAACATAATGTCTTCAGAAATCATTTTTTACCAGTGCTCATATTGCAATTTTTGCTGTTATCATTGCATATTTTTACCAGAGGTCATATTGCAATTTTTTGTTGTTATTATCACTTTTCTCTGGCACTCCTTATTACTGGTTCCCATATTGTATTCATTTCTATGCTTGATCGGCTCAGGAGATTTTTGTGGCCTAGCATATGTGCTGATTCCTTAAGTTTACGAATTTCCCAATGGTGTTCTTTGTCTATGATCTCAACCTGATCCCACAGAGGGTGGTGATCTCCCTTTACCAAATATTGAACTCACAGTCTTTGGGCTTTGTCACTGGATCTAACCAACACTTTTATCCACTGTGCCATGTGTCCTGGAGAATTGGAGAGGGGAATTAACAGGAGATAACTGATAACTGACATCCATTAGACATGGCACGTGGAACTAGAACAGTCTACCCAGTGAGCAAAATAAAGGGTTCAGTTTGACATTCCAATCACCTGAAAAAGGCTGGAGTGTACACAGCCAAAACGTTGTAATAAATATGGTGACAAAGATGAGAATAATAGTCCAAATAATGTAAATAGTGTACATAATACCTCATCTCAGAAATATAGATATATATCTACTACTCTATGAACTAATCTTGTTTTACTGACAAATGAGACATTCTTTCTTCATCAGTAGTATAGCTGAAAAAGAAAACATTTTAGCTTTTTCAAGACCATACGTTATTGTTTTACAATCATAATGTGGTCAATCCAAATAATTAACAGTAACAATAATATATAAATTACTGCTACATGATAAAATTAATAATACATTAGTGTTACATTAAGACAAAATCAATATCAGTGGTAATCAATAATGTTTTAGACATGCTTGATGCATCAAAACATTAATTGTCAAGCCACTGAGATACCAAAATCAATTTATTTTAAAGATCATGAGTAATAAAAAAATTTCAATATTCAAAAATTTTGCTGTATTTTACTTAATATTAACTACTTTTCCTTGAGCTTGTGAAATTTAATAAATCAATTTAGCATTTTACATATTCACAAAATTAAATAATAAAGAAACTGGCTTTGTTTAAAAAGGAAAATTTTGCTTCATTATTTCCTGTTTCATTTGCATTTTTGCGTGTTTATATATCTAAATATGTCTACATGTTTGTGTATTATAATCTGATTGTGTATGTATTGTCTTTTGCAAGATTTCACCCCCCCTCCCGCCCATATCATCACTTCAAATGTCTCTAAGCTGTAACAAAGCTTTAGAGTAACATTAGATTTTAACATTTATTCTAACTGAATTTTTGACCTTTCAATAAAAACAAATTAAATAACAAAATATATGTATTTTTTCTTCAGTTTCTTCTTTATATAATTTTATAAATTTTTAAAACTTAATACAGATTAAATTTAAAATTTAAAATTGGTAATTTTTAATTTTCAATTTTATAGTAAAATTTAATATTAATTAGAGTGATTTCTATTTTAGTCTAACTCTAACATTAAAGCATTAATTATTATATCCAAGGTTCATTGTCAATTTTTTTTAATTCTCATATACTTGTATTTTGATTGGTCATTGCAGCTAATGTAACAGCGTTTCCCCTAGTGAGGGTTGTTTGACTGATTTGAACCTTTTAAAACTCTTTACTCTACATTCAACACCATCACTTGATAAGGTACCTGAAGTGTTGAAACAAAATGGCTATTTTTGTAGTGATTTTGTAACATATTTATGTTATAATTTTCAAATAAATTATATTTGCTTTGTTCTGTATTGAGCAATTTTTTGGTTATTGGAATTTATTCTGTATACACCAATCCTATACTTGGGTATATATATATATATATATATATATATATATATATATATATATAGATAGAGAGAGAGAGAGAGAGAGAGAGAGAGATAGAGATAATTGCTCAATAAGAAAACAATGCTGATTACTGTAGTTAGTCCACATCTCTTTCCATACTTCAGAAGGATTTGGCTGGCAATGAAATATTTGATTGGAATCCTACTGGTAGCTAATTTTAACAGCTCAATGGGAGAAAAACTGACTGTTCACATTCAAAAAACAGACTGGTGACATTCCATCATCACTGAGGGGACCCTGAATTTTCAACTATCGCAATGAATGGGTATTCTACGAGCACTTATTGGGAGTTAAGCTCAACCCAGACCTCAAGTGGAACATGTATATATGATCCATCACTAAAGATACTTAAAAAATGGTTGCTTCCCTGTACTACTCCAGTAAGTACCTGACATCTAAATAAAACCGTCACTTATTTACTTCTGAAACTATTAAAGTTAAATAAGCAGCTCACCTGTTAAAGACAAAATCTTTAGAGATGGCAAACATTGCAGTTTCATTATTTCTGCTATGCTATCAATCCTATTTTCCCTGTAGAATGAAAGAAAATGATAATTACATAAAAAATATCAATTAATTTTTTTCAATTCAAAATACAGTCAGAAAACTAATAAGCAAATGCCAGTTTTAAAATGGAGTAGGCTTAACTTGTTTCAGATTTCAACAGTTATCTGACTAATATTGAAAAAATTTAAAAAAATATTGACTTAATAAAATCAGGACATAATTCAACATAAAAACGTTTTAGAGTTCAACATTATATTTCTGGAAAAACTCTTTGTTTATTTGGGATTTCATTTTTCCACAGTTAAGTGAATAATTTACTTCTTCATTTGAATTAATTCCTACCACATTCAATATACATATCTATTATTAAATACTCTCATTTATGCCTTCAAAATTTAAATATTAAAACCAATAAAATGTTCTTATGTATTGCAACTCATTTTCTATATGTTGTCAATAAAACTGTTATTTTACAAAACCATTAAAAAGAATCGTGTAAAACAAAAACTGTATAACTGAGAATGTGATTAATGCTGGAGAATTAATTAAATCTCATTTCCTAATACAACAAAAGAATATTTCTGTTTTTTATATTGACTAGTAAAATCAATGATGTCAATGTGCCAAAATTAAATCATAATGTATGGGAAATTATTACATGTTTTTATAAAACTTATTTCCCTTGTTAACTTTAAAATAATATATTTTGTATGTTGTTATATAAATTATTATAAATATAAAAAGTGAAATATAATGTCATCTTAGTGAAGGAAAATTCATGAATGCATATCATTTTACACGGGATGATATTCTATATTTCAGTTTTACTTATAGAAAAAATAGTTGAAATACATTATTACATTTTTCTTATAATCTTTGTTCAATATTCTGGATATGGAACACAGATTATAAGTGAAATGATAGGGAGGTAATTCAATGTTTACTTTATGTAAATCTACAATACCTAACATACCAAGGTTAATAAACAAAAGAATCAAGAAAGAATATTTTCTTTTATTAATGAAATATAAAAGTTAATTTTTTTTAATTTCTTATATAACAATATACCAGTTTTCCTCATTTAAAGTTTTTATTTTCCCTCATGAAAAATTTGAAGAATGTTTTTTCTAATAAAGTATTCTGTCTAAATATTTAATAAATTCCAATCTGTTATTTCGAAATGAATTTATTTCATGTTCTTTTTATTTTCTTTATATTTCTATTAAAATTTCATATCACACTGCCCTACATGTAAACCACCAATCTGCCACTGGGTGGCATGCCCCTAGTGTTTACCACTGTTGGACTGCCAATGTGTTTGTCTTGGCAATGTTACCACTGGTGGACTGCTAGAGGCCCACTGATGGCCTACAGGTGGCTGCCACCAGAGGACTTCTGGCATCACCACTGGCGGCCCACCAGCGGACCACTAGCAGCTTGCTGTAGAGGACTTGTACAATATTTCAAATATTTTAATCATATCAAATTTTGAGAATGCTTTGGCATTTTTATCATGTCTTATATATTTATCCTAATCATATTTAAGGGCAAATAAGATCATTCTCACCATTTCAGTGAAGAATAATAAGAAATCAGTGATTGAATTCTACAATGAATATTACTGGAACTTCATATGTATTCCCTATTTGGCGAAGTTTAATTCTTTTCATGCATTTATAAAATTTTAATATTTAGGGGGGAAAGTAGTTCATCGAATAGGGTATCTTTTGGTAGTTTATTCACATATAATTACACAACAAACATACTTTTTCTCTCACTTTCTTTTCTCTTCAAAAAGTAAAGAATTTTAAAAAAAAACTTTCAAATATATATAAGTTTTTCTACAATAAAATTACTCTTATTTCTCAGTTAACCAATGAAAAAATATTCAAACAATTGATATCAGATGAAGAACATTGATATCTACCTCAAATTGATGTATTTCAAGTCGATTATAGTTTCCTCTAAACCTGTCAGGTCTGCAATATTATTTTTCCTAAGGTACAAAGTTTCCAGTGCATTCATTCTTGATATGCCATTAAGACTGTTAATAGCATTATATCCCTGTAAATGAGAAGAAAAATTTTTAAAATATTATAAATTTGCCCTATTTAGGATCAAGCTGCTGGCACAATTATGAAAAGAATGAATACACATACATACACACACACACACACACACATACATACATACACACACATATATATATATATATATATATATATATATATATATATATATATATATGTGTGTGTGTGTGTGTGTGTGTATGTGTGTATACAGAATAAGATTTTGGAAGAAGATATCATTTGTGTGTGTTGGATTAAGTTTTTTATATTGGTTAACTTATATCATTGGGGGCCTAATTATAATTAAGAAGACACAAGTTAATGCTAGTTGGTTTCCTATATAGAGAAGTAGTAAATTTGTGTATGCTGGAGTTAATAAATACATCAAGAAATGGAATTTTATTATTAAGTTCTAATGTAAATTTGAGGAGAAAGTAATTTGATCAATATTTTTTGCTTAAATGAAAATGTCATCTCTGTATCTTACATATATAGGGGGTTTATTAGTGCCATTAAGTATTTTATTTTCTATATGTGCCATATAATATTTTGGAAAAAAGGAGGCCTAAAGGAGATCCCATTGCAATACCATCTATTTGAGTATAAATATTACCTAGGGAGTCATGAAAAGGTACTGAGTGGTACATGCTAATAATAATTTTTTTTAAAATAGTGGGTTTAATATTTATTTACTAATATCCCTGTCCATGAAATGATTGACATCATTATCTGTGATGTATACAATCACACTTCTCTTCCACCCATCAATATTAAGTCCACTGTTTTAAAAAATAGTGACTTGTAATGCTGATTAAGTCGACACACTGACTTGTATACTTTGTTGCATAGATTGCTGGACATAATAAGAATATATTGTGTTGTAATTATAGCAATACATATGACTAAACTAGCCAACCTCCGATAGGCATATATGCCCATATTTTATACAGGTGCAAGTTTTTTAGCACCATTTCCTGGGACAAGACTTATGTGTTATATGTAGCTATTTTAGCTTTGCCTATTCAATAGATAGATTGATATACAAAGACAGTGAATTTCATGCCAGAAAATATACTATTAGGTAATTAAAATAAATTGTGCCAATATTTCAAGATTTCTTCAAATTTCTTTATGGCATATAAAGTGTATTTGGTTTTAATTTTTTTAAAATTCAAAAATTTATAATTAATTTTTTAAAAGTTCAAAAATTTATAATTATTTCTTTTAGAAAATGAAATTCTTTCTACAATCATGTCACATTAACAAAGAAAAATGTATAAATGTGAATTATAAAATCATCAGTTCATAATTTTAATATGACATATTAACTCCTTTTTGTGACGTATAATAGCCATTAATAATTATGTCTAACTTAAGACTCCAATGCCAAAATAAAGTAGTATTTAATTACAACTGCAAATAAATACTTAAGAACAAAGAAGTAAAAGTCAACCAAAGATAATTAACCATTTCAGTGAATACCTTGTTAGTAGTGCTGCTCAGCTTAATGTCCGGTAAATCCTAAAACAAAACCCAAATCATCAATGTACAATAATTCATACTAGTTTGACTGGATAGCTCCACTCAACAGTCACTCAAAATCACAGTAGTCAGTAGCCTGACACCACTATTTAAACACCTATATTCATAAGTCCAGAGTGTCATGCTTGAACCTTGGTGTCGGTAGTTATTTTCTTTCTATATGACACCTAACCTTTTTGAGATGATATCTCTGGCATCTATATCTCTTCAGTTTGGATTCAATATTCGTTGCTGTTCTTTTTCTTTTACTGTACCTCCTTGGTTTGCTAATTTCTGGTGCTATGTGTACGTCAAACATGTCATACAATATTTCTATAGGTACCTCTTTTCATGGACTTACTAAATCAATGAATCTCTGTTTTAACTGATTAAGGTGTCACTTATGTTCCCACCTCTGTCTCTGTACATCATTTTTTATCATGCTGCCTTCCCAGAATTCTTTTCCATGTTGGTACATTTTAAAAAATACTTTATCATCAGGTTTAAAATATTTATTTATATTATTTTAATTCCTTAACGTTCTGTTCTGGTAGTAATTTGTTAAATGTGGACTTAATCTTCCTGGCAAATATCAGTTCTACTGGTGACATTCCAGAAACACTGTTTAGGTTTGGCATTATGAAAATGCTCAGAAATTGCTGTAATATTAATTCATCTGCCTCCTCTCTCTCCAACATTTTAGTGCCCTTTTAAAAGTATCAACAAACTGTTCAGCTTATCTTGTGTAATAAGGGGGCATTGTAATGTGTTCTATTGCTAATGATTTACAGAAACCCTATAGACGTGAACTGTATGTCTGTAACGATAGTGAACTGTCGTCTGTAACGATAGTGTCAGGTACCCCGAATCTTGGAAAAATCCTGTCTAAGAAAGTGGCAGTTTTGTAAATTTTAATATTTCTGACCATTTAGTATATTTTATCTACCACAACTAGATAGTATGCTTCATTTAACAGTCCTGCAAAGTCCATGTGTATTCTGGACCATGGAATATCAGTTTTTGGCCAACGTTGAAATTTAATAGGTATGACTTCTCCGCCAGAACGCAACCTCTGCATGATTTTACTAAATTTTCAACGTCTTGTTCTATTTTTCATCAATATGTATAATACCTCTTTAAAGATTTCATCCTTGAAATTCTTGGATGTCCTATATAGCATATATTTTTGCAATGATGCTGGTATCACAGTTATTTCTGCATCCATATGTACGTTGTCACATAGTGAAAATTTGTATTTTTATTTTTTTTCTTTAAATCTCAGTTGTTTCTTCATTTTCACTATAAAGTCATCTTTTTCCACTTTAACTCTTATTTCCTCTAATGTTATAGGCAGTTCTTTCATAGTATTATATAATACATTCTTAATTTCATTTTCAGTCCTTATCACTGCAATTAAAATGTGTCCGTTAGTGGTTCACTGAATTTTGGTATTAATCTAGACAGTCCATCCACATGACTCAATTTTTTGGATAGTAGAAACTCCATTTTATAATTGTAGTTTAATAAGATAATGCCCCAGTTCTACAGTCTATTTGCTGTATGTGAGGAAACACCCTTTTTTGATCCATAAATGGACAACAATGAATGATGATCTGTCTGTAATGTGAATTGTCTACTATGAATAAACTTGTGAAACTTTTTTGTAGCAAATATGATAGTTAATGCTTCCTTTTCAATCTGGCTGTAGTTTTTCTCAGTTGCTATTAATGGTCTGAAAGTGTGAGATATTGGTTTAGTTCTGTCCTCATATTTGTGTAGTGTAGTATCACCATTCCAATACTCAACTCACTTGCATCTGCTGGAACCAAAATCTCTAATTTAGGATCAAAATGAACTAGTAACAAGTCCAATGTTAAGACTTTTTGATATCTTCGAAAGCATTTTGATATTTATCTGACCAATCCCATTTAATGTCTTTCTTTAGAAAGTTATTCAAGGGTGCTGTTAATTTATGCATGTTCAGCACATACAGATGGTAGTAATTAGCTAACCCTAAAAATGCTTGTAACTTTCATACATTTGTTGGGGTGGGTATATTCCTTATTGCACTCACCCTTGATGGATCTGGTCATCTTCCATTCATGTCAATAATTTGTCCTAGGTATTTCACTCTATTCATAAATAGTTCACACTTTTCTTCACTAATGTTAAAACCATAGTCTTTAATTCTTTGAAAAACCTTTTTTTCACATCTCCCGTATGCTGAGTTTGGGTTTCACTCTTTGTAAGTATGTCATCCAAATATGTTTGTGCACAATCCAAACTGGCAAGCATTGTATTCATAATCTGTTGGAATATGCTTGGTGCTACCTTTATACTGAAAGAAAGTCAGTTAAATTTGTACAATCCTTTATGAGTGTTAATTGTTAAAAGTTTAGAACATGCTTCCTAAGCATTCGAAAGATCCAATTTAGAAAAAAAATTGCCACCATTTAATTTGGTAAAACTTGCCTCCCAGACTTGGTACATTCTTTCAAGCTTTCATTTAATCCTGTTGAAAAATCAGCACAATTATTTTTTTTCTTCGTGTAAACTGTAGGTGACACTCATTCTGATTAGTCTACTTTTGATATAACTCCTAATTTTTCCATTCTTTCTAATTCCTTATTAATAGGTTCTATATCCATGAAAAGTACACTTTTTAAAGTCTGAAAACCGGTGTTACGTTTTTTTTTTTTTTTACTTCAAAATTATCTTCTTTTTTTTTTAATGCATCTATCTAGACCTTCTGCGAAGACTTCTGGGAAATTTTTTAAATTCTTTCTTTAATTTTTTGTCTGCTGTATTAATGCCAGAGGTAACAACATTTATTTTGTTGCAGAATGAATTAACTGGAAGCCCCCACCCCTTCAAATAATGCAATCCAATCTGTTCTAAATAAATTAACTGTATTCTTTACCACAAATACAACCGCTTTTTTAGTTTTTTCCAGCAAAAAAAAAAAAAAAAAAAAACATTGCAGGTGAACTCAGCCATAAAGTTTAATTTCTTCCCTGTAACTCTATGAGCAAATGGGTTTACCCATTTTTCTCCGTTTCTGTTCATTGATAATGGTGATATCAGACCCTGTATCCAGTTGTAGTTTTACTTTTACATTATTAATGTAAAAGTAAAACAACAAAAACAAATTTCCTCTTTTGAAGTGTTTCTAGCTCAGTTAAAGACATGTTCAACAAATTTTTCTTTGTAGTTTTTCCTTGAAGTTTTTTTGCTTTACACAAAGTATTTACTATGTTCACATACATTCTTCTATTTTTTTTCCATTTTTTGTATTTACAATGAGTAAATTTGTGTCCATTCTTCCCACATTCATAGCATTTTTTGTTTCTGAAAAACAATCACTTTTAAAATGTTTACCACCACAACCATGGCAAGCATTGGGTATTGACAAAGGTGTATAATCTTTTTTGAATGCTCTCTTAGGTGTTACAAAAGGTCTATACTCCTTTTTCT